GTAGTAACAAAATCAAATCTTTCTCATCATACAACAAGTGAATTACTTAGAAAAATCATGGAAAATGACTCCACTTAGACCTTTAATATCTTTTCTCTGCATTAAAAATTTGGAAAAATGCACTCTTGAAATGACTTAACGGATAGTCAAAATTAGAAATTAGTCAGAAGACCCAGCTCTGCTTGTTGCCGTTTATTCTACAACTGAAATCGGTGTGCGCTTCATCACTGTCAATAGCGACAAAAAAATGTTGAGGCCAGCTACAAGCTATGCTATCCGAAAAAATTTTTGTAAAAATGTTTCCGTCAAACGACATGAAAAGTATTTTCGGATAGTGTATCTTGTAGAATTAATTTAAAACCTCATTTTATTAGTTTAAAATCTCGGTAAAATATATGATTTCATATGTAACTGATTATGCTCCACAACTTGGCATTAACCCTTTGGTTACCTTTTTTTGGTTGAAAACATGACAAAGATTTGATTTTGTTACTACTCGATAGAACGCAAGAGAAGGATGTATACACACATTGTGATGCTACATGATGACGGTGTGATACTGGCAGCATGAGAGAAAGAGAGAGCACACTTATGACCTGACCACGAGGGAAGCAAAAGCTCAGCCCGTATATATACGGAAGCCGTAATCAAAGGGTTAATCAACTTTTTTTATTTTAACTTTGAGCTCATCCCACTGGAGTTACTCATTACGTGTCCAAGCTGATAATGCATCATTTATGATTTATGAATATCTGTAAAGCATCAGCAATAAGTGGTCCTGATGATATGAATAAAATTCAATGAACGCCCATATTTTTGTCGTTTATTCGTTGGATCTAAATACACGACCAAAACTACTGATAGGCCGAAGTAAGCCATAACAAACGGTAAGGAAATAAAAAGGTTATTTATAATTTAAAATGATGAAACGATATTATATATTTTTCTCTTCTCTTTCTTACGACCGTAATATGCTAAAGGCAAGGAAAGTAGATTACGTTAACTGCGCTTTACAGCCATTGGACTTTTTACTCTTCTTTCTTAAGGTCCTACGATCCTATTTCGATCTATCGCAAGATTTCGCCTTTTTTTTAATTGCTTTTACCTTGGACTTCATATTTATTATAGTATTGCGGAAAGCAATAAAGAAAGAAAGACATACGCCTCAATATTGATTGTTTGAAGAATAAAGAAAAATAAAACCAAAAAATTTCAAAATTTAATTTTATGTTGGTCTCCATTCATCTTTTTCCAATATTATCTGAAATCATATAAATATGTATTAGACATAAAAAGGAAATCTTTGAATTATGAAAAATAAGTGAAGGAAACAAAAATAAAAAAAAGTAAACGCATTGATTGTATTATTTCATCATTTTATTCTTCTATCAAAAACATCGTTGACTGATATGTGCACATCATCATCGTCATGACCAAGCACCATTTTCTAATCCGATTACTTATTCTAATTTTGTTCATATCATATCTTGAAACAAGTCATTTTATCGGTGGAACAATTACTTGGCGACTTGCTGATACAAATGATACCACTAGTCCAGTAAACGTGATAATCACTCAGACTTATTGTTGGGCATACGGCACTGTTGCTACATGTACAGCAGCACAAATTTCTTCCGGTACTTCTCTAATTAATTTAAATGGTTATCCAGGTTCAGGTGATAAACTAGACTGTGTATCAGGGACATGTCCATCTAACTGGAATTCACAAAAACCTAGTATTGTTCCATATTGTACCGATGTATCAGCAGATTTAAAGACAATCGTTGGTCAACGTTCAGATACTGTATCATTAGCTATCGGTAGTAAATTTACAGTTGCATTTCAAGATTCAGCCTGGCGTAATTTAGATGGACCGGGATCAGGAGCAGTCAATTCAGGAGCTGACTGGTCTGTATCAACATACATTGACTTAACAATACGATCGGACACAGGAACTTGCAATAGTCCACCAGTGTCAACAATGATGTCACCTATTAATATAGTAAAGGGTGTTCGAACAGTCATTCAAATTCCAATCACAGATCCTGATGGAGACCCAATGAAGTGCCGATGGCCTAGTGGAACTGTTGAATGTGGTCAAGTATGTCCACCCGCATCACTTCCATCGGGCACACAACTCTTTCCAAATTGTACATTTATTATTACTGGCCTGAACAATGGTGATTGGTACGCTGCGACTGTCGAGGTAAGCAGGATCTAAATATTGTAATCGTCTGCATAGAACTGTCATCTTATGAACAGGTTGAAGATTTTATTAATTCCACTAGTACAACAGCTTTGAGTACAGTTCCTGTTCAATTTCTTATTAATGTTGTCAATTCAGCCACATGTCCTCACGACCCAAAAATCATTGGTCTCCCTCTTGATCAAGGTTGTATTCCACTTTACGTTGGTCAAACATATGCTACACAATTGATTGCATTGAATTCATGCACAAGTTATGGTACTGTAATTGACGATATTGCCACTTTGTCTTTTCCTGCAGTGAAAAAAAGTGCCCTGATGCAATATAACTCAACAATTTATTTCAAAAATTTAACATATACGCCCGATGCTACAGATGTCGGATCAAATCAAGTTATATGTGCCATGGCGGTGGACAGGTAGGATACTTCTAGTTTTAAAACATATTTCACAATTAATTTCTTTTGCATTTTTTCCTAGTGCTAATTCCCAATCGGATCAATTTTGTTTTTCGTTTTTTATTTCATCAACGTTTCGTTGTGGATGTCCTGGTGATCAATGTTTTGAAACAACATCGACAACGTAATGTACCTAATAACATACAATAAATAAAGAAACATCGTTTATGTTTTCTGTAGTACAAGTACCACAACCACAACAACTAAAACTACATCATCAACTAGTACATCCACATCTACAACACGCACTACATCCACTTCGACTACAAGGTAGTTCCACAGAGGTTCTACCGCACTCACCGGTACTTCATCCGGATCATAAAATACTCACAGCACATATTGAGTTTGATGCTTTAACAATGAATGTGACATTGAAAAACTTTTAAAATATCGGCATAGCACTGAGGGTTGATAAGGGCCTCTCATTTCCTATCAGAACTTGACGATCGTATAACTCTGAGATAAAAATTTTCTAAAACTGGAGCTTTCAGAGTAGAATCTTTATTTGTCGATACGAGTTTTATCTAGCAAGCAAAAAATTAACAAACTCCAAGAAAGCTCTTAAAGGGACATCGAAAAACAGAGCTGTATTTGTAAATTATATTTTTTCTACAAAACGGATTCATAATCAATCTAAATAAATATGGGTTAGATGCAGTTTTCTACGGTCTGTCTGATAAACGGGAACTCAATAAAACTGAATTGTGCCTTGTGGGAGAAAAAAATCAATCTTTAGCGGCAATTTTTTGCGTTTTTCGCATTTTTAGTGCCTGTAGCGCTACTAGAGTCTATTACAAAGCAAAAACAGAACACATATTTGTCATATACTCGACATCGGCTATCATGAAAACTGGGTCGCATTTGTGATTGATCGCTTTTAATTTACTCCAAAGTTATATAGAATTTCTGCTGAGGAAAACATCTTCTTCAAACATCAATCATTAATGTTTTATTATACGAATGTCAAGTTCTGCTCGGAAATAAAATCCTATATCAAGTCCAGTGCTATGCCGATATTTTAAAAATTTTGCAGCGTTACATTCATCGTTAAGGCATCATGCTTAATATCTAATACGTGCCGTGCGTATTTTATGATTCCGGTAAAGTATCGATAAATGCCGTAGAATCTCAGTGAAATCACCCTGCATTTACATCTACGATAAGCACAACGTCGACTACAACGACTAGTACAAGTTCTACCTCAACAAGCACTACAGCCTCAACGTCAACATCATCAACATCAACAACTAGCTCAACGTCGACTTCAACGACTAGTTCAAGTTCTACCTCAACAAGCACTACAGCCTCAACGTCAACATCATCAACATCAACAACTAGCTCAACGTCGACTTCAACGACTAGTACAAGTTCTACCTCAACAAGCACTACAACTTCAACGTCAACAGCAACAACATCAACAACTAGCTCAACGTCGACGTCAACAACTAGCTCAACATCGACTACAACGACTAGTACAACTTCTACCTCAACAAGCACTACAACTTCAACGTCGACATCATCGACGTCAACAACTAGCACAACGTCAACAACATCAACAACGTCCACAACGTACGTTCTTTTGAGTGAATTGCGCTGCCATCGTGCGATCGATGTTCGATATGTGAAAGTCTTATACCTTTTTTATTCCCTAATGGATCCAACTGAAATTTTTGCACAATATTCATCCTAACTATGCATGGTACCATTAAAAAAACGAGCTGAGATTGTCTATCCATTGGTGAGATATAAGCAGACTGAGGATGAAAATATACAGTTGTAGGTTCCAAGAGGATAAGAAAGACCGGAAAGGACAATAAAGGCAAAAAGGACACAACTCTTTCTCGATACAAAAAATAGCCGATAGATGCTGCTACATTTCGACAAAAAAGAAAGAGTTATTTGCGTATTTTTTGACGTACAAAAGATCAAACTGCACTTTTGCTTCTAAAAGTGACGTGAGATTTTGGGACTTGTTTTTGCTATATCTTCCCCGCTACTCAATCTTTACTCTTGGCTTTCGTATCGTTTTTCATGTTGTTACCCTAAATATGTGCTAAAAATTCTACCTTAAACAGTTTAGCCGTTCGAGAGAAAATTTGCGTTTTACTGGCAAAAAGTACGTGAAACGTTTTTACTCAAAAAAGTAATGCGCGATTAAATAAGTGAATCTCTGGAAAAAGCGGATCTAAACATAACGTATTATATATGGCTCGACTGGTCCTCGATCTATCTACTGATGTATATTACAAGTCCGATTCGCCTTTCAAATTCTATCAATTAGCCTTTTTATTAAGGAAAGCAAAATGTGAGTTTGAAAACTCTCGTACCAGAAATCGACCAAAAAAGGTTCTAATTTTTCCTAAAACTCTCGTTTTACTGCATCTTATGTATTTTTGATTCTGAGTTAAAATTTACTAAAAAATGCAGACGTTTCTCTTTTGTGCTGAGCACAGATGACATCAGAAGTTATTGCGCAGTATTAGAGGCGACAGAAGTTTTTCTGATGAACTCTCGAATTTTGGATTGAATAACTGCAAATTCATACGGTTTATTCTTCTATGTACTTTCAGTTCAACAACCAGCACAACATCAACGTAAGTAGATCTTTTTTCTCAAATAAATAATGGGTCATTATTCTTTGTTTGTAGATCAACAACGTCAACAACAAGTACAACGTCAACAACCTCGACCTCGACAACATCAACCACTTCAACGTAAGTTTACATTAGTAAAAAATTTCATACATCTTTATTTTTACTTACGAAGTGCAGAGATTTCATCGTTAAAAAAGCAAAATAGTAGTTTGGGGAAAACTTTTCATTTGGAGGAACGGTTGAAAAAAATTAAAAAACACAAAAAACCAAAAAGAATCATATATTAAAATTTTTTCATTTCTCGATCAACAGATAAGAAACCGAATCTTATCTTATGGGATATGCATTAACCTAGACAGATACCTCTACTTATAGCAAAAACGTTCAGAAATGTCAATTCCATTATAATTTGTCAAATTTAAACTCGTAAGAAATACCTCAAAGGCTTTTTATTCTCTAGTACAAGTACCACCACTACAAGTACGACATCAACCACATCCACTTCAACGTAAGTACAAAAAGACAATATACAGATTTATTTCTAATTAAATGAGTGTTTCTGTCGAAAATAATCGAAAACTTACGGACGTGTGCTCAAGGCCACTTTTGTTTTGTCTTTTTCCCATTATTTATCATTATCTATACAATTATATGCTAATGACATTCTTTGCAAAGATATACGCTTTATGACTCAAATATCGAGCTAGTGCTGTCGACAAGACCGGTTTATTTAACTTAAACTTGATTTAAGTTTATATCAAAAAATATTCTACTAAGTTGAGATGTTGTCTTGCGATAATCAGATTAAACTGAAAAACTAACAGAATCCTGATACAAATCTCTCTTAGTACTTAGGGCGTCTGTTATTCAGCTCTACTGTTACGTGTTCTATTTCTGTAGAAACACGTGCGTTTTCAAAAAATCGTAAGATCAAAAACGAAAATATGAACAAGAATTAGCGTGGAAAAGATTATTTAAGAAAATTCGTGAACTGTTGTAAGGATAAAATTACTGATAGGCAGCGGTGTCTATCCACAGGATAGATGTCTCTGTTGATAGGAAAAAAGAATAAAAAACTGACACTGAGAAACCGTGAAGAAAAAGCGATGGAATTTTTACAGGTTTATTTTCACCGTGTCAAACAAATATTTTGGTGGACATGTAATCTAATGATGTGCCTGCTCAGACTAGAAAAGATTAATAGATATGGACATTTTCTTTCAATATGGAAGAAAAAATATTGTAGTGGACAACAGTTTAATGTTGTAAAAGGTCAAATGAGAGAGTTAACTGTACTGTATTCGATAGAGAACTTTGTGAGATACATTTACAGTCCTGCCTGGTAAGGCTTTTGCGTACCCTATACCCTATAGATTTTCCGAGCTACTTTCGAGAATGCGATGCTATTTTCGCTCCGTTTTGTTTACTTTTTTATGAGGACGATGATAACAAAGTTTTACATTCTTCTAAAATTTCATATCCACAAAATATTGTCACCAATATCACCATTTAAATTTATACATATAGAACGAATGTAGTTCAAGCAGTCAAACTCCCAGAAGAGAAAATTGAAGAAAGCCCGATGGGAATATAAAGTGCTAAAAAGAATAGTAAAAACGGTTATCACCAAAAACTTGACATTATTAAAAAGAGTTATTAGAAAGAGCTCGGAAAATTATATAAAAATTAAGTTTCCTGGATTTTTCACCTATTGAGATACGTGCATTTTAGTTTCTTTCGAACAACTTTCGATAGAAAAGAGATCCATCGTGCAGACAACAATTTATGAGATTTGACTGTCTAGAAAACGTTAAAAATACGGCATTTATGATCTTCAGTTCTTCATATATCAAGATGTACAGATTACATAGATGTTCAGATCTTCAGGTATCTTTCTGTTTTCTTTGACGGTGGCGAACATCAGGGAGGAGCTCACTTTCATCTTCCCCCGTCCTCCGCCTTTCATTTCCCCATATCCAGAAGAATGTATATTTTCAATTTATACTGGAAAAAGCTGTGCTTTTTTGCCTTTTCAGAAAATACACATTTTTAATATGCCAGAAAAGCAATTTTCTCTATTTTTCTTTCGCCATGATTGTATGTCGATTTGTTTTCTTCACTTTTGGCGACCGCTTTGAACATCTAAAGATCTTGATATCTAAAATCTAAACATCTGAACATCTAATAATCTTTCCCAAAAAAATCATCAGTTTTTTCCAAAAATCATAATTGTGAAAATCAGACCCTACTGTTGAGTGTAAAGCACAACTTTATGAAAATGAGAATTAAGTAGTTTTTTTCAATAGATTTCTGACTTTTATAGTGGGGAAATTGTCTAGTATGAGAAGACCACTTACGGTAGCGCTGACACACAAATTTTAGTAAAAGGAAAGTTAGGCGGATCTATTGACATTTTCTAGGAGCAATTGACCTGGGTGAGTGTAATTTTAGATTTAGCCTTTTACGTAGAATAAGAATAAAAGACTATGAAAGCTCTCAAAGTCACTAGGTTAGAAATATGCGCTCATTTATTAACATTAGGCCGTTTTCCCAAGTTTTAAGAATTTCTGTTTTTCGAAATTTTCAGTCTTAAAAATTTTTTCGAAACTTTAAAGAACACATACTCTGTTTCAGCTCAGCGAGCTCTATCCAACCATGTAGAAATATTGCAAAAATAAATTTTGAATTTCGAGCGTCTTAATCAAATTTCAAAAATTTCACATTTTTCAATTGGAAAATTAATAATATTTCAAGCACCCCATCCAGAAGAGCCTGAAAAACTGAATAAAACGTGGTACTTTTTATTCGATTGAAAGAAAATTAAAGGTATTTCTTTAAGGTATTTTAGAACTAAAAAGAAATTGTTGCATCTGAGTGGAATAGTCTGGTACGAAATGATGAAAGTCTATTGACAAAATAAAATACCAAAATTACGAGAAGTATTAAAAAAAACAGTATTTGGTCACAGATATTTTTCCCAAGCGCATAAAATTCGTTACAAGGCGTGATGAAGTTAACTTTATGTGAATGAAAGTAAATTATCCTACTCTAAATTACTATTTGTTTCGTTGTAAGTGTGTAGATTCGCCTATTTGTAGCTGTGGAAATGGAAACAAAAATATCAAACACTATTTTTTTCAATGTACATTATATAATAATAAGAGACAAGATCAAAAAGTAAAGACCATTTCAAAAAGTATTGTTTCTAAATACTGTAACGGTCGGTACCTTATTGTTGGAGAATTTAGACCTGGATATTGACGGTTTAACTTGTATTCTGGACGCGGTGATTGGCTATATTCAGAGTACTAAAAGAATTCATAGCTAGAAGCTCAGTGCTTCTCACTTTTTTTCATGGCGTCCGCGTCTCAAGAGTCGTCAAAGTCTGTTATTTCTTTTAAGTTGTTCGAAAGAAACTAAAATGCACGTATCTCAATAGGTGAAAAATCCAGGAAACTTAGTTTTTATATAATTTTCCGAGCTCTTTCTAATAACTCTTTTTAATAATGTCAAGTTTTTGGTGATAACCGTTTTTACTATTCTTTTTAGCACTTTATATTCCCATCGGGCTTTCTTCAATTTTCTCTTCTGGGAGTTTGACTGCTTGAACTACATTCGTTCTATATGTATAAATTTAAATGGTAATATTGGTGACAATATTTTGTGGATACGAAATTTTAGAAGCCTTACCAGGCAGGACTGTAAATGTATCTCACATTATGTGGCGAAAACTTTTGTTTTTTTCATTTTTCACTCATATTTTTACTATTTCATCAAAAGCTAAGATCTTCTTAATGTAGGTCGATAATGGTATTTCTTTACCGCTGATATTTTCTTTGTTGGAATCAAATAAAGTTATATAAGAATTAAAAAAAACATTACGATAGAAAAAGAAAAGCGATTTTGTTTTTATAAAATAGAAAATAAACTAATTGTGTACTCAAGTGACTCTTGTAGAGCAAAATTAACTAAGTCATTCAATGTATGCGTGAGTCATTTCAATAATCGATCGTTGACCCAGAATATAGCCCCAATGTTGGCATGTTTCAATCAGTATAACAAAATGTTGCTCTTGTTCTTGACTCAAACTGTCATTCTACACTGATCCTGTACTATTCCGTGGCATATGGCTTTTAATGCACTGTAAAAAATAAAGTATGTTACTAGGAGCGTAAATCTTCTAAACGCTCACTCGACATCGAAAAGACTGTACCATCTCTAGATGGTCAAGTGGTTGGACACCCGGAAAGGTTCCCTCGTCAGTGTGTAGAGCCAGACGGTCACTTCTTAGTGTGTACTTCACACATCTACACCGTGCATTCTAGATGGTCACTGGGAATTGACCTGCCGTTCACTTTATGTGTGTCATTTACACACTGTATTGTTTACAGTGTGGTACGAATCGAAACATTATAATCAATTCAAACTTGTCGCTCTGGTTCCCTTCCTTTGATATCTTCGACAGCTTTTGCAAGATTATTCAATGAGTATTGCTGCTGATTTCTTTTTGGCTTAGTGGTTACTGGAACTATATAGGACGGGATATATTAGAGTATATGCATATATGAATAATAAGATGAAGAATGCCTTTATTTCCTTGAATTTACACATATTTTCTTGAAACGTTTTGTCGTCCTCTCTCTTTCGGAAATATGAAACTTTTGTAAAAAGAAAAGTCAGTATGAGCTAAGTAGATAGCCCAAGATGCCTGCTGTTAGAATCCATGACGGTAAGACCGTCATAGAAGATTTCTGCAAGTTTTTCAGGTAGTTTCCCCTAAAGCAGGGAAAGACTGACTTTTCCACTAACTGTGAGCTATCAATACAAAATCGAGAGAAAAAGTAGCTCTGAAGCAACCTGGTAGTAGAGCAAACATTTTTTGATTAAAATGAGACGTCTTCCACCTCTGGCCAAAAGCTATACGAATTTAAGTAGAAGGTCTAAAATACGCATCACAGTCGAGCGCCACTTTATGTCAAACGCGAACTTCGCATCCGCACGGTTTCGTAGCTGCAGGCGTTCTCCAAAACGAGGAATAAAGAAATCTCGGGCTTGACTTAAAATAAAGCCAATACACACGGCTAAAGGCTAGTGCGACCCATTTTTTGATTTTCAGTCACAATTTGTGGTCAGAAAAACATCTTTGGGGAAGTTAATGAGACGTTTTTCGAATTTTTGTACTTTTGACACTGGTCATTATTTTGAAAGTAAAGTATCAAAAGTTGGGCTGTATTAGCCTCTAGCCACATATGTTTTCGTCATTTTGAGACCCTCCCAAGTCCTTCCGGACGCTTCGGTATTGAGAAATCTTGCAGTTATGAAGATTGCAGTCAGATTGCTATAAAACTTATTCCAACATATAGTAGAAAAGAAACTACGTAGAGAATGGAAGAAAAACCTAAATTTCTTCGTTCTACTGATGAATACGTTATATGTAACGACTAATTAAAACTTATTCACAACAAAACTTGTTCGAGAACAAATCACCTGTTTACTTTTTCTTATTATGAATATCCATTAGCTTTCTTTGGCTTGTTTATTTTCCCACAGTACGTCGACAACTTCAACCAGCACAAGGTTAGTTTTAAAATCTTTCAAAATGAGAGAACAAACAAATAATCTGGTTCTCATCGCTGTTTAGTTCAACAAGTGCGTAAGTATTTTAATCGACGTTAAACAAATAAGAAGAATTTTTTCTGATATGAATCGTTTGAAGAACGACCTCAACTGCTACCACATCCACAACAACAAAAGACCTCGGTAAGTTACACACCTAGATACAAAATGTGCATTTTTGAACTTGATTTTAAAAAGGATGAGCGCTCATTTTTAGGATCAAAACTAAAAAGGTTCTGAAAAAGGCACATTTGATATTCGTCCTATTTTTAATTCTAGCCTCATCGCCTGCTTATTTGCCATTGATTGCTGCATTATCAGCATTAGTGGCCTTGGCATTGCTGTGTTGTTGTTACTATTGCCTGTGTTGGTAAGTTCCAATTTAAATTAACATTTCTTGATAGGAACTCAAGCCATTACTTTCTTTCTAGTGGACCTTGTGCTAGAAGACATCGTCGTGCATCAGGAAGGAAGAAACAAGGAGAATGGGAATTTTATTTTATTAAAAATATCGCCACCTCTGATCATTTGCAGTTACTCGAAACATCACTCTCATCAGTCAACAAACATGTACCATCATCGAAACCCAAAACTGCTCTCGTTCACAGTTCATCAGATACTCAGTCATTAAGCAGAGAAACAAGCGCAAATTTAACCATGTCATCATTTCTAGACATCGATTTCAACTGTGACAGTTTTCTGTCGCTAAATGAGCAACCACGAACACCGAAATATCTCCGAAATACTAGTGTGACCACTGTGTCCAAAATAAAATCATCTCATTTAGCCTCACACAGCATTCCGAATGAAGGGATCAAAGCCTCCATTTCTTTTGATAAAACCAACAATAAAAATGAAACAGCAAACAGCTCAAAACGAGAAAGCAAAGTCACCATGACAAAACTAAAATTAACGAAAACACAAAAGAGTAGTGTCACTAGTATGGATCAATCGAAAGAACGTACCTATAGTTTCCGATCAGCAGTAATCCCACAATCAAGCCTCCTACCAACCGTTGATAAATACCGCCGTAAAAGCACAAGTGATGTTTCCGTTGTCCGGTTAAAACGGAGTAATGAAACAGCAAATTCTCAGGATAGATTACATAACACTGCACACGATATTGATACCATCGTACTAGATAAGTCGAAACCTGATGGGAAGGATACTGCGATCATCAAAGTATTATCACCAAAAAATTCTTCAAGCAAAAAGACTCCAGAACCAGCTTCTGGAAGAGTAAAAACATCAGGATCCGTTAGTGTCGTTCATGTTAAACATGAAAAATCTGCCACAACAACAGGAACAACGAAAGAAAGAGATCTAACTGGATATCTTCCATTGGAAGCGGTACATAATGTGACAGCATTGTCGCCCAAAACACCGAACGAAAAAGGCGTCAGTGTAGTCAAAGTATCAACCTCAGCTCGAAAGCCGTCATACAAATCACCAGAACTGGAGATGCAGAGAGAAAAAATGTCTGAACCAATTGCAGTCATTCATGTCAACCGTGATACATCGCCTCCTATGCCTACAATAACAGAAAGAGTTGAAGACATTACATTGAAGTCAAGCACAACAGAGGAGAATAAACGACAAAAACCATCGGGTGTCACTGTCACCAAACTGCCAAACTTGAAGAAACTGAATGACTAAACTGTGCTTTTTCTAAGTTGGTGTCCTTTTTCTCATTTTTCCTTTTACAGTTATCATCATTAGCGATGTCCTGCGCTTGGATTAGTTACTATCGTCACCTTCCTTGTCTATTGCTGATATTCTCACCGATGTTTTCATGCTGATCAATAATTCCGATGATCATCATGATAGGTTGACATTGTTGATTACAAAAAAGTGATTCATAGCATAGCTTTGTCGCTTTTGATGTTGAATTGAACAAACTAAGGAATTCACGAGACAGTCAGGTGCAACAGAATTGAGATTTGTTGATGACATAGATAGCTTGTTTATCTGATTAGTTACGGTAATAACCGAATCAACGCTGCAATACTTTCAATAAACTGTAGTTGTTCTAATGATTTTAATTTTAGCTTTGAAACGTCGAATTCAAAAGCTCATTTTTTATCATTGGTCATTTTTTCCACTGAGTCGTTTCGGCCATTCGAAAACAAAAATTTCAACCGGTCCGGTTAAAACTATTGTGCAATGCACACATCATTCAGTATTTTGAGCAAATGTCCGCCGTTTTGGGGGGAGAAATCTTCAGAATACTACAAGAGTCGATGAAAAAGTGAGTGTTATAGAGAAAAGTCAAGATTTGACAGTTTTCCGTTCACTCGAGTTTTTCGAAACTATTTTATTTGATTTCAGCATCAAAAAGTGAGTATGCCCATGTGGGTTTGTCACTAGTTCATCAGTCTGATGTCTGCGAGCACGACGGACTAAGTTCGTCTAGTGACGTTTTGCCACCCTGTTCTCCCAAACCTACGTCGTCTTTGGGGTGGGGTTGGAACAAAAGACAAATGGTTAAACAAATCTATCCTATAAAATTTAAAATTACCTAGATGTTACATATTTTTTCTACAGTATTGTAAAGCAGATAACTTTACCAGTTTGTATTCGTTGAAAATCAATTAAAATGAAAAAAACATAAAATTCAACGTCAGATTAAATTCCGGTACATGCCTGAGTACATAGATATGCATACAAACGACTATACAATCCAGTAGGGTGACGAAATAGAGAAAGAAAACAGCTTGTACTTAAATGGCTTCAGTGTGATTCGAACGTGGGTACCTAGAATTCAGAAGCAAACACATAATCATCTGAGCTAACAGACGATCGAAACATATACAGTAACAATGCTATGTGTTTCGATCATCTCAGTCGGACAAAAGACGTAGTATTTGTCTCTTTATTAAAAAGTAAACAAATATTTTCGCTCAGAATAAAGTATTTCCGCAAATAATTATCTCCTTTCTCATACCTAACTATGTGTTTGCGAGAAATGAAATAGTCTGTCTGTTAGGTCGATAACTGCGTACCTCATCCTTGTGTTTAAAGGTGAACTCTGATACTGAGTTGCATTTTATTTTTCATTTTATTCTTTTATTAAAAGGCAATACGAATTTCGATCATTCCAGATTACCTTAAAATCTTTCTAGTTTATACTAGGGCTGCTACATTACTATTACTCGGTAATAAGTAATAATTATTATTACTTTTATTACTTATTACTTTTCATCACGAATTGCTTTATTATTTATCATTTTAATACTATTCGCGCTTTTAAGTGCTTGGTACTAGTAGTAAGGGATAAAGCTGAAACTTTTATTTTATTACTTATTACTTTTATCATTTTCAGATTTATTACTTATTACTAGTAGTAATAAGGAATAATGTTATTACTTATTACTTAGTAATACGTAATAAAAGCTTCAAGTAATAAGTAATAACGAGTAGTAAGTTGTGAGGAATACTGCGAATTTCTCAAATTGTATGTAAAAAGTGCTGAATCTAATATAAATCTAAACAGTTTTCTAGGCGTGCTCTAGAAATCCCAAAGAATCTTGAACCATCTCTGACCTATTCATTATAATAGATTATCAATATTCTCTAGGTTTCAGTATTCACAGACAATTTTTAGTTATGAAAAGTTGTGCACCCTCACCCTCACCGAAATCCAACTGAAAACCATCTCCCCAAAGTATTTTCTTATTACTTTATTACTTTTTGTAGTTATTACTTATTACCAAGTAATAAGTAATAATATCTTTGTTATTACTTATTACTAGTAATAGTAATGTAGCAGCCCTAGTTTATACTATGACCTGTTTCTGATTCATGCCTGGATAATGAAGAATTTAGGTTTTCATTGTGCCTTAAACACTGTTCTCGATACTATTATAGTATTTTTTTGTATATTGTTATTTTTTCTTGATAATGAAATTTTAAGTTTCGGAATGTCGATTTCTGTATATATTTAAACTATCTTTGTGCTCATTTTAATTAAATATATATTTATTGAATTACTAATGGTATATCTAGTAGCCGCTGTTGCTCTTACGAGGGAACCTCTCGAGGTGATTAAAAGCTTTTCGACTCAGACTATTTTCATTATGTAGGGAATAGTCAGCAATGAAAAATCCCAAGTTGGTTTGGGCCGATGCGCCTTTTTGACGGAGACATGAGTTAATTAATGAAAATGCCATTAATAATAATTAATTAATAGCTCACGACCACGATCAGCTAGGAGTCGGAAATTCTCATCATAATTGAAGATAGATGTTGTCTACTCAGTGCGACACGTTTAGGCTTATACACGAAAGCTTTTGCAAGACATGAATTTTTTATGATTTAGAGAGCTTTTAGTGAAAATTCACCATTGAAAACCTAAAAACTTGTTATCATCTTTTAAATACCTCTGTTCACGCTGCAGACGCTCAGCGGCTCTTAGGGATCCATATCTAAATGAAATAAGTCTTTACGGAGTCGATAGAGGTATCTAAAAGGTGATTACAAGTTTTTAGGTTTTCAATGGGAATTTTCACTAAAAGCTGTCTAAATCATAAAAAATTCATATCTTGCAAAAGCTTTGGTTTATAAACCCAAAAGTTTTGCAGTGAGTTGACAACATCTATCTTCAACTATGATGAAAATTTCCGACTCCTAGCTGATCGTGGTCGTGAGCTATTAATTAATTATTATTAATGGTATTTTCATTAATTAACTCATATCTCCGTCAAAAAGGCGCATCGGCCCAAACCAACTTGGGGTTTTTCATTGCTGACTATTCCCTACATAATGAAAATAGTCTGAGTCGAAAAGCTTTTAATCACCTCGAGAGGTTCCCACGTTAGTTTTTTACTGAACTCTCAAACCATTTAAGTAAAGAGTCGTTGCGAAGTGTTATTAATGAACCAGAATGATTAACTTTATCGAACGCTTTTGAAAAGTCTAGAAATGCTGTTAGAACTGGAGATCCGGAATTAAAAGAGTAGCAATATGATGAATAATTTTAATGAGTTGACTAACTGTTGAAGAACCTCTCACAAACCCGCTTGATTTTTATGGAAGAAACTATATTTACTCAAGAAGCCATAAAGATGTTTAAAGATGATGCGCTCGCTACGCTAAAAATATTATCAAGATGTTTTTCTGTCGATTCACCCAACATGACGATCGTCGAACGTCTACAGAATGTAAATTGTGTCACAAGGTAGTATGGCACCATAAAAGTGTTACATCAAATAGACATGACCAGTGGCATCATAAAAACGAATTGGAACAGTGGTCAACTTCTTTGAAACAAAACAATGATAAATAAAATGATAGAAAGCAAACAAAAATCGACGGGGCCTTCAATCGTTCGACAAAATACCGAACCATCCACGCCAAATCGAAAGAACTCATGCTATTGTTAACGATATGATTATTGACCTTGGCTTACCGCTATCAATCATAGAACGTCCTGCATTCATTCGCACGATGAACGTCATTGACTCCAAATAAAAATGTACAAGTAGGCGACGCATCTGTCGCGAAGCACTTTCACAATTGTATGAAACGGTAGTGATAAAATTGAAACATGTGTGCAACAACGCAAAGTTCATGTCTTTAACATCAGACATTTGGAGCGACCGTCGTATGCGGGCATTCTACGCTGTCACTCACTGTTCATTTGGTAACGGATGAAAAATTTCAGTTATATGTTCTATCGTTTTTACCACCGTCAGGTATGTTTAACAAATGAAGGACCTACTGAATTATATCTGGCGAGCTAAAATTGCTATAGTTCAGACTCAAAGAACCGTGGTTTTCTGAAGAGAGCGAGAAAGCAGACCATCATGCCGCATTCTTCAGAGACCAAACCAAAATTATTCGGTCCTTGTGAACTGTATCCCAACTTTTTTCTCGAAGATTTTTAAACATTTTTGGATGTCTGTTTGAGAAAATTCGACTATAATCTTTTTAATTTTCTGCTCGAGGCTGCATCGTGAAAAATGGATGAAAGATTGAGAAAACAGAAAGAGAAAATGAACAGAAAATTAGGGTAGCCCTCGTCTGTCTAAGTTTCTCTCGGCCACCCACCATATTGGCTCTGCCGTTCTTTACTTGCAACGTCAGATATATTTTATTATGCAGTTTAATTTCAACAACAATAAAGCATTTTGTACCACTATTGTTCGCGTTTGTCTAGTGAAGGCACTTACTACAAGGATTATTCTACGCCATTTAGTCGCTTTCTGGCCATGATCTAAGCTTTTTTCTGTTTCTTTAGGTTGCCACTCCGGTGACAGTTTGTTGAATGAATATGAAAAAGTAATTTCCAGTTACAATATTCAACATAAAATCGTCCGTTTGATCACCAACAGCGCTGCAAACAACATAAAGCCGTTTAAAAATCTATGCACGTCTACAAGTCGAAGCCGAAGTATTTCAATATTTCCATATTTACAAGACGACAGCAAGGGACATCTCCTCGATCAACGACATCGTACCTATTGCCCTACGAACTAGTAGTTAAATTATTGAGTGTTCCAGCCACATCTGCGCGGATGAAGCGCGTGTTCAGTCACAGCGGATTTTTAATGAGACCACAAAGGGCCTCTCTAACAAAAACAATGTTGTCAAAACTGATATTTTTGAAATATAACTTTCATTTGCTACTTTGAAGAAGTTTCAGTTTTATGTGTTATTACTGTTGTTTGTTAACACTTGTCTCTGAAAATAAAAGAAAAAAAAACAACCGGAGTTGGAGTTGAACTTCGGCGGAGTGCCCAGTCCTGAGTTGATCTTTGATGCAAGGTTTCAGGGCTTGTAACATCCCTAGCTGTTTGTTGTCGATTTTTTCTACCGGGCGAAAGTTTTTTCTGAATATTTTTGACTGGTTTATATAGAATTGTCAGAACTACCAAGTGAAGTTCTGTTCTCAAAATTCCAAATATTGATATGTACATTATGGGGTGAATTAAGTTTCTGTTTTCTGCGCTATCTGCCTGTCGATTTGTCTGCATAAAATAATAGGTAAATATTAAATGCAAACGTGTTTAATTTTCCATGCATCATCCGTTATATGAGTGAAATGTGTAGCCATTGTATGATGGAGATAAAGAAAACTGCAATGGAAGGTTTCACTCATACTTTTTGACCTGTTTTGATATTTTTGCCTATTAGGAATTATGGAAACCTTCAACACGATTTCTGTCATTCCAGAAGGAACATATGGTGAAAGTCTTCCCAAACCGGTAGTGGCCGTTTATACCAACAATGTAGAAATTTTAACATGGGGTTATAGTTCTTACAGTTTAATCAAAGAATGCAAATGAAAAGCGCTGTCTAACTATGTTTTCTAGCAGAGCAGATTTACAGTACGAGAAGATCACTTCTTGCTTAAAACTGATTTTTTTATAAATTGAGAGTTCTGAACTTAAAAGCTAATTTGATCGTTCTCGAACATTTTTTCTCAGTTCTGCTGGACTCTTCTGTGCAGAATTTTTCGCGCTGCAAAATGCAGTTAGTTTTAAACTGTAGAGGTACTCATGAGAGACACCATGTAGCTTTTAGTAAGAAAAAAATCAGTATGTATATATTTTAATGCCGCTTCAAAACACGATTTTCTCTAACAAAATATCATTGCGTACTAGTCACAATTTTAATATCAAGTTCTTCTAAACGTCACGAGACAATTTTGAAGAATATACAATTGAGTAAAAAGAACGGTTTGTCTTCTTTATTAGCCGAGGTTACTTATTTAAGTGTTCACTGGTGAAAAATACAATGAAAAACAGTACATCAGGCTAATGCTGTCAACAAAACAATTAGGACTATAATTGCAGCAAGTGCAGCCAACGAAACTAATCCGTTCCAAATTCCTGTGGAAGCGTATACTAAAGACATACAAATTGATGTTTCACTTTTTGTAACTAGATCGACATCCTTTTTTTAGACGTTCTTAACGGTTCGGTCCTGTAGCAATTGCCCATCCTTTCGCTGAACCTGCATCGCCTGATCGTTTATAACTCCGTGTGGTACTTGACAGCGCAAGCGATATTAGACCAAGGATAATACCACCAAAAAAGATATTGGCAATTGACCAACACATGAAATCTGGAATATGTGCCGTGTGTGGAGGCATGACTACCATCTGTACCGGGACTGAATACATCGTCGGTTGAACATAAATCGCACTATGTGCCTGGGAGTAGCCTACACCATAAGGTGGTGGCTGTGGTGGCTGTGGATGATATTGCATACCTTTATTGTCCATTATTTCTCTAAAAATTCAAACGATGTGAAACTTATTTTTAACAGCTTGAAGTAACAAAATACCTGTTTAGTAGTTATTAACATCTTACTGTCATGTTTGATGTGCTTTATATAAACATTTATTTGTTTTATGATAGCGTACATGCGTCACTGAAAAAATCTATTTAAAGTGGGAAGCAAAAGGTGAAAAGAAGATGCGATAAGTAGTTGGTGTAAGTACACAAACACACGCGTCGACAATATTTTTTAACATAATATATACATAGGTGACATCTTCTCGTTATAGATTAAACATTTTTACTTTATATGAATTGAAATAAAAATAGTGAATTATATAATTATATTTAGCGTAAAAGAAAATTAAAAATATATAGAAAGATAATATAGCTTGACCCGAGTTCGGTATTTCGAATCATCCTAAAAACTAATGTGTTAATAAAAAGATGCTTTATTGAAAATAAACAAAGGATTTGTGAGGGATTTAGCTGAATCAGTATGCTTCCTATTCACTACACCTTTGTCCAAAATTAGTTCGTTTACTGTACACTCTATTAATTCATCTAAAGCATCAACATCGAATGTGGAGTACTATTCATCCTGACATTTCTAGTCTTTGCCTGCTTATTTTACCTATTATTCTTTCTTTATTTATTTTTTTTCAATAAATACTACAAGACAGCGCAAAATATTTCTCTTCACTCCCTTGAAACTGTGGAAAGTCGATTCAGTCTTATAAATAACGCTGTTTAACAGTTTTATGAGTAGAAGGTGAAAATATAATATTTTTTGTAAATTAATAATTTTAACTATAAATTTAGAAAAAAGAGAAATTCAATGTTTTAAGGTCATGCATCAATTTTTGAAAAGAGCTTATTTTAAACAGCTATCTTTTCGTTAATCATTAATACACATTGTTCACAAAGTCTATCTGTCATTGAAAACGTTCATATTTCATGCTAATTTCTCAATAAGAATGGATATTTTTGATGACCGTCGTCGGGAAAGTAATTTTTCGAGTAACATACGACGATAGAAATATTGAATCGAAATATCAGGATGAATAATATTCAGCATTCGATGCTTATACTTTAGATGGATTAACAGCAGTTTACAGCAAACAGAGTAATTTTGGACCATATTATACTCACAAATACTCGTTACTAAGCCAGAATTGCTTAGTGTAACCAAAGATCTTTGGTGCTTCTCGTGTCGAAAAGGATTTTTTCGTTGATTTTAGTTGACCGCAAATGTGTTCTGTAAAAATAATAGTGTACCTAAAACTGGTGTTTTCAGGAACCGCTTTTCCGCTGAACACTTTTCAGAAAGATCACTTCCGAAATGGCCGCCAGAAGAACACTTTTAAAAAGTGATCTACAGTAGAAAACTTTTGAAAAAAGGTCACTTCCAGAAGATGCGAGCTGAAGCACTAAAAGAGATCCAGAAAAGAATTTTGACTCCGCCAAGTTCTGTTGAGAAGGCGAGAGAGAAGGTAATAACCGAATAATGACTGCTATTTGGCTCTAACATTTCAGTTAATGAATTCTCCAGTCTGCACTGTTTTCTAATTCATAAAAGGAACTCAATTGCATGACAGTGAGAGCGTAATTTTTTTACCGAGCATATTCTCTATGGTTTCGTTTGTTTTACGTAAAATTCTTTACTGGTGCTGCTGGTAGTAAACCATTGACTGTTCTAATTAAACAAATTGAATGTAAGTATCTCTGTCTCTTTCTCTAGTTTAATCGCTATTCAGTTCTGTCGTCTTTGTATTTAGATGCTAATGAAGTTCAGAGCACATTTGTACCATTTCGTTGCGAAGGTAAAAAGTTGATGTAAGTAATCTTTGTTGCTTGGCGAGAGCGTCTGTTTTCTCTTATTTACGTCTTCCACACACGTTTTATTAGCCCTCAGCAAAGCTATCAGAATAATCATTATCATGGTGAACGTTATCAACAGCCATCAAGAACATCATCTGCTGCGTTACTAGTACAAAATATACGATCACAAACAACGGTAGCAACAGCATCTAGAAATTAGTAATACTGATACGAGCCACACAAAAATACACGTACGGGGCTGTGCCTCTGTCGATTCAATTCTGTTTATCAACTGAACACGAAGAAAGTAGATTCTAAATGGCTAGGGAACAGTGATTCTTTACCACAAAAAAATTTATTTTGGACATTTTAAAGTGGTAAATAAATCGATCTCCTTTTAAAACCCATTTATGCCGAAAAAAAGGAGTTTTTATATTGAATCTTTAAGTTCGTTTTGTCTAAATCTTTACTTTTATAAAGAGAAAACACTTGGTGCTATAGAGCAGGCTGGACTAATTATGACCAGGCACAAACTTTTTCTAAATGTATTTTACGAATGGTTAAGCCATTTTTGGTCGGAGAAAAATGGTGACTACACAGGTAGATACATATGACTTTCAGCTATGCACTGATGTAAACATTGTCTGAAAAATCTGAATGGCACTAATTGTCATTTACTTATAGAGAATTTCGGGCTTTATCCGATCTCATGAATTTTCAGCCAATAGGCTTTACTCTTAATTACTTAATGAGAAATTAGTGAAATTAGAAGACAAGTCATGTTTTTCATACACGAACTGGGGGAATTATAACCACACTGCTATTTTTCATGGGGTAATTACAACTATTTAAGGGTAACGCACTGGAAATTGAATGACAGTAATTAACGGTAATGAATTTTCAGACAATGTTTACATCGGTGCATAGCTGAAAGTCATATGTATCTACTTGTGTAGTCACTATTCTTCTCTGACCAAAAATGGCTTAACCATTCATAACATACTGAGAAACAGTTTGTGCCCGGTTATAATAATCACAGCCTACTCTAGTTTCTTTCTTATATTAAGAAAAATCTTGTATCCTAAAAGGGCCTAAATAGTATGTCAGCAAGATCTAAGAGAATTCTAAAAGCGTCGATTGACACTGTGTGTCCAGTTGCTTCATGGTGTTTAGCAATAGCTGATTTCAGCTCATGTTCTTTCTACTCTTTAACATTAACTAGAGCTTCATCAGTATCGATAAAGTCAAATTTCTTAATTACCTTTGGTAATTTGCTTGTCCATGATCTAGTAATTGGATCCGAATACTGTTTATTATTGTTTCTAGCTAACCTATTAGTGGTGGACTGAATAAGTATGGATTTATATTTTCTAGTTACCGCAGCAGGTTGGATTTTTCCCGGCGCATATTTATTCTGATCAAGTAAATGTTCTTGTGTCTTCCATACATTGGCTCTGACAATAAAACATATGCTGAACGAATTAAAGTGGTTGTCTACAAAATTTATGGTCATAAAACAATTAGGATTGTTTATAATACTACTATCCATACCAAAATACAAGAGACAGTGCCACTTTTTGAATAACTTTTGGTAGAAGATAGATAGAGACCTGCGGTTTTCACCATTAGAAAGAGGAGACTTGGATACATGTTTCCATAACCAA